GGGAGTTGAGTGACCCAGGCCTGGAGGACGCACGTGGTCATAGGGCTTTATTCAAGGTCAAATCCGCTGTGCAGCTTGCCGTCTGGCATACCGTGAAGCTCTGTCATGCGGCGCCCTGCAGGCCAACACAAAGCCCTGCCCAAAGTGCTCAAAGCCCGTGGAGAAGAACGGCGGCTGCAACCTCGTGGGTGAGCACGCAGTCCAGGAGTGGACCGGTCCAAGGAGGTGGGGTGGTGGCGTTCCAGAGTAGCGCTTGCAGCTCAAGGCCAACGCACCACCTACATTTCCACATATCAATGCGCAAACGCACGCACGCACGCAACCCTGAGGACACTTTGCCAACGCCTGCCCTTCCTGCTGCCCCCTCGCACACCCCCTCCTCCCCCAAAGTCTGCAAGTGTGGCCAGCCGTTCTGCTGGCTGTGTGGGCAGAGCACCGGCATGCGGCACACCTGGACCTCCATCGAGGGCCACAGCTGCGGGAGGTTCAAGGTGGGGAAATGAGCCTTGGCAACTGCTGTCTGCAAGCTCACAGGACCCCTCAGTCCGGCACCCGCCTTTGCAGCCCTGCCGCAGGCTTCCCATCTCTCCCATGATTCCCTGCATAGTCGCGACCGGGTGCCATTCTTCGTGTCCTGGCCCAGCGCCCATGCTGCCCCCCATCCCCCACACCCTACCCCACCCCCCTGCTCTCACCACGGCCGCCAGGACGAGATGGACGTGCGCATGGGCGAGGCCGCGCGCAACCACAAGCGCTATATGTTCTACTTTGAGCGCTTCAAGAACCACGCGGACAGCATCAAGAAGGAGAGGGCCAACAGGTGGGGCTGGCTGGGGCAAGGGGGGTCTGAGGGGCTGAGAGGAGGGGCTGAATGTCGCTGCATGCGCTCCGCTGTGCTGCCTGATATAGAGGGAGCGCGCACGTTGCGCAACCACACCCCCTCCTTGTGTCCCTCTCCCTGACACCTCCACCCTGACTCCCCCAACAGGGCCAAGCTCATGGCGCGCATCACGCGCAGCGAGCACGACGGCGTCGAGGCGCGCGACTTCAGCTGGCTGGTGGGGGCGCTGGACCAGCTGCGTACGGCGCGCCGCGTGCTCTGCAACAGCTACGCCTTTGGTGAGTGCACGCCGCGCAGCAGCCGTCAACGAATGCTGGGCTGTTCCCTTGTGCTTTGCGGTATGTGGCGGCACACATCAAGCGCTTTTGGTCCTGTGTGCTAATCGGCATGCAAGCTTGCGGCACCACCCTCACCTCTCGCCCCCCCCCTCCTCTCGATGCGGCCGCAGCCTACTTCTTCTTCGGCGGCTCCATGTTCGCGGAAGACTTCACCCCCCAGCAGAACAAGATCAACCAGGACCTGTTTGAGGACAACCAGGAGATGCTGGCGGCAGAGGTGGGGGCAGGGGTGCGATTGCTGGCTGGTGGCATCGCTGAATCCGCAAAGGCTTTTCACACTTTGTGGTTCTGGGGGTTTGGGGTCGGGGAGGGGGTTGTGAGCGTGGTACGGCGTTGCGGGTTTCTAGGAGTGGCGCCGGCGATGAGGAGTAAGATCAGCGTTACCCCTGTGCAGCTTTTGAGGCTCTTGCGAGTTTGCCGCCAGCTCAAATAAATCCCTAACCCCCCCCCCCCACTCCCGCAACCTGCCCATCGCCCCAGGTGGAGCGCCTGTCTGGCCTGGCCGACAAGGCGGCCGAGACGCTGTCCCTCGACTCAGAGCTGCGCCTCAACACCATCAACTCCAGCAGCAACGTGCACACCCGCATCTCAAACTTCTTCTCTCTCATAGAGTCAGATCTGCTGGCCAAGGTCTCATCGCTGGGGGCACAGATTGCAGTGCCCGTGGCGTGATGCTCCCACGACACCGGCGACGGCGTTTTCACGCGAGGTGCAATGGCGGTCCTGCAAGCTTTCGGGGTCTCTTGTGCAAAAATGTGTTGTGTGCCGAAGCTGGGTGCCCGTCCAAGCCTGCAAGCCCTTGGGAGGGGGCGGTGTGCATGATACCCTGCAAAGCCCCCCTGCCCGGCATGCAGTGTGTGCCATGCTCTGCAGGCGCTTCAGGGCTTTAAAGGCAGCAGGGCTGCTCTCCCGCATGCTTTTGTTACTGGGTTGAGTGTGTGCCTTTGGCACCATACGTAGCAAGTTGGCAAGCCTTTCCAGAGCCGTCTGTCGGTTTCGTCACACCCGTATTATCTAATAGCCACCCAGTACAGTTTGCTGATGGTCGGCGCGGGGAACAGGGCCTGCTTACGGCTCGACCGCCTGATCATAGCTTGCCCACCAGTGATGTTTGTGCCACAGGCAAACACACTTTGAGGCTGTTCATCTCAGAGCACACATCAGGTGTTTACCCTAAGTGCGGTCCTACTACCAATCAGCTGGCACTCAACGGTGTGCATGAGTGAGCAGCTGCAGCATAAGCAGAATCGCGCGTGTTGCTGCGCAAATGAACCCAACAGTGTCACCAACCCTGTGTACTTGTTGTAATCACTGTTTACTGTGGCGCTGGATCCAGGCGGATTTAATTGTGACCGCAACCTTCAGTCAAACCCTTGATGATGCAAGGCGCCACATGCCCAGCAGGGGTGCTGCGGCGTTGCTGAGTACTTGCCTCCACACCAGGATTACGCCCCCAGACCATCAGGTAGCGGCCAGGCCTGCTCGGCCCCACTGTGAGGCCAGACAGGGCGTCAACGCACAGCAAATAAAGGTTGCAGATGCTGCTCATGGCCCATGTCTTGCAACCGCTCAGATCCTGCCTTGTTTACACAAGAACGTATGCGCATTTGCACAATTATTATGTTTCCGTGCATGTGCTTGCTTCGTTTTGGGGGCAGGCAGGGGGGGCTCAGATCTGATTGCATGGGGTACAACTTGCATGGGATCGCATACAAGATATCCATTGTCTACTTCCACGCCGTTCTGCACTGCTGTGGTGACGCCGCTCTTTGGTGGTGACTGCATCCTGCAACAATGAGGTGTTGCTGTTGGCAGTTTAACCGCGGAAGCACATGAAGGGACAGTTCTCTCTGATGGGGCGTGGCCGCGGAACAGGTGGACGCGGGGCCTGGCACCAAGAGTAGACATCATCCCTGGCACTAAGGTGCCCTCTGTTGCGGGCGATCACGATTTCATTCCGTCCCCTGCTGCTCGGGTGAGTGACGTTGCTGGCGCGTCTCGCCTGTGCCTGTTGGATCTTTGCTCACAATGCTTAGCATGATCCCAGAACGGGCACGGCAGATACCATTGGCACGCAACAGACAGGCAGACGGGGTCGTGGGGCGGGATCAGGGTTGTAGTGGGTGGTGGCACGCCCGATGCACCGGCTGATATATTGAGCTGTACCCCACACACGCCCCAGCAGGTTTGAATGACGCATGCAGAAGAGCTTTCAACCCGTTTGCTGATTGTGGTATCATTGTTATTGATTGGTGTATGCTGGGATCTCTTTCGCAATGTCCATTTCACCCAGGTTTGTCCAGCGGTCACCCCAGTCAAGAGCTACCAGGCAGCCAGCACAGGCAAACAAATGCACGCACGCGTCCATGCACCCACGCACGCACAGAAGCACACCGCATATTTCCAACACTGACTCGCGCACACATGAAAACCATGCACAAATGCACAGAACAAGACGCGCAGCACACAGCAAACAGTAATGCACTGTGCTGCGCAGGTCACCGCCTGGGTCCCCAGGTTGTCTCAAAGTCTTCCAGGCCCGAAACGGTATGTCGACACACGTGGCAGCTTATGATACCCTCATTTGAAGTGGTAGAGTTTTCTCCTACTGTGATACCGGTATTAGACGTGATCTTGTGGCGCACTTGCAATCACGGCGTCAACACATGATATGATGGAAGTGAGAAGAAATGACGTGGGATGAAGAACATTGTATTGGTGTTGCGCGAGAACAGGTGAGGTGGCTGGCGGCATTCACGGCCTTTGGAGCAGCACACCCCAGCCTCGATGTATCAGTGCGCGCGCAGCAGAGCACCCCAGCCATGTGCTGACGTTTGCTTCCTTGCCACGATACCACCCATGATATCAACATATACTGGTGTTCAGCCGCTAACATTGCATAACGCAGGCAAGCCTGCTCCTGCCAGGCGGCCCTGGGTCTTACAAGACCACCGCCTCGGGCGCCAAGCTGTTCTGGCCCGCCACCCCTGGCAGCCTCCATGGTGCCAAACACCCTGGCGCACCCGCTGTGCCTGGTGTTGAGTGGTTGACTGTGTCCGGCAGCTTCAATGAAGTGCTGCACGAGGTGCGTTCGCTGGTCAGCGCCAAGGCCGCCACCATCGCGGCCGCCACGGCGGCCAAGGCGCGCCTATCCGACGCAGCACTGCTTCAGTGGCGGCGGCACGGGAGTGCAGACGCAAGCGGCGCCGCGGGTGCCGCAGGCAAGGCTGATGCAGGGGACAGCGATGACGACGAGGTGTGTGGGTATGGGCGAGGCGCGGCAAGCGGCAGCCAGCTGCAGCGGCAGCGGTCGCAGCAGCACGGGTCCCGGCTCAGCAGCGCGGCACAGCTGCGTGCGTGCTGGGAGGGCCAGGGCGGCGCGAACGGCAGCTCAGACACGTTTGTGTGTCATGATCCCAGCCACGTGTGGCTTTCCCTGCCGCTGATGCTGCGCATCGCCGCCAGCCCGCCGCCCCCGCCGCCGGCCGCAGCCCGAACGTCGTCGACGCCCGGACCCCTGTCCCGCACTCAACCCGGCGCTGCCGCCGCCGCACCGCCCTCGCGGCCGCCCGCGGCGGTGGCTGCTGTGTCTTCTGGCGATGGTGATGTTGTCATGGCTGAGGCTCAGGCGTTTGTTGAGGCGCTGAGGGCGCGGCCGGACTACTCCGCCATGATGATGGCGGCGGAGGGCAACGTCACAGCCATGGAGATCGATCCGGTGGGGGCCATCCTGGGGGCGGCGCTGCTGGACGGCCAGCCACCAGCCGGCGGCAGCAGTGGCACCCCTGCCGCTGCGACAGTGCTGCAGCATCAGGATCAACGGCCTGTGCGGGAGCAGGGGCAGCAGGTCAACCAGAGGCGGCCGTCGGGGCCACCTCCACACCCGCTGAGCGCGCATCCTCACGGCGGGGCCGCCCTCCACGTCCGCCGCCTGCTGCTGGTGCTGGACACCAACATCCTGCTGGCACACCAGGGGTGCGGCCTTCCTATTAGGAGTCAAGATGGGGTCTCAGGGTCCTCAGACACACGTCGTGCACAGCTGCTCGCGTGTTTGCGTTTGCGCGGAGCAGCAGCGGGCGTGTTGGTGTGGCACCCACCTGTTGCAAGTGCCACCCAACCACG